TCCTCCTATCCAGGAAGACACTCTCCAGTGTCTAGCAGGATTTCCCAGGAGTCTATCGGGCTAAGGAATGCATCATTGGAGCACCCCCGGGAGGCTTAGATGGATAGGGCTATTTTTTTTTCTATCAGGCTCTGTAGAGACTCCCACTGGATGAAACTAAACTCCCAGACAGCGTTTCAAGCAGCAGGTATATTCACCATATTTTCTAACGTATCACACATCAACTCTTTGGGTGGGTATGATAGAGGCATTCATGTAGATATTTATTGTTTAGGAGCCCATTGATAAGGGTCTCAGTTGAAGAATATTTGCCTAACATGCACAGGTCTTGGGGTCCATCCCCAACACTGTAAATAACAATAGTAAAAGAATCTATTGATCCACTGATATCCACATCCATTCATCCACAAGTCATTTCTTAATTTGCATATGAATTTTACTCATTAATTCATACACTTATGCTTTTTGATTCCTTCCATCATCACTCTAGTTCTCTACAAGTCTTTAGACATTCATTTACTTACATATTTAGTCACATGAGCACTACAGGGCCGCTCTTTTGTACATTCACTCCTTCACTTAATGAATAATCCACTTTGAAATGACTTACAGCCTTTGGAGTTGTGTCAAAGTTAAACAAGATAGATGTTTGATGTGGAGGTATATGAGGTTGGATAGATAGTGCTAGGGCTTGAGAGATGGCTTTTGGCCTGTGACAAGTAACAGTTAAATGCATCTATTGTGATATAGAAATTGATTGTCACTCATTTTCTGAAATCCCTGTCTTCAGTTTTTCAACACTGAAAACATTGTCCTATCTGAGTGTCTCCAACAAGCCTTCTTTTGGTCTGGGCTATCTTTGGATCATTCTGGAAGTTAAGAACAGACTGAGTTACTCTTTTCCCACTGGGAAAACAATCTAAGGTTGAGTTCAGGATTTTGGTGGGTGGGAGGAAACGCACATAGACAATCACATGAAGCCCCCCATATAGACAGTCAAGAGACACAGCAAAAAGCAGAATGGGAAAAAGAACCATCAAAGGCTAAGGGGGCTTGGGGATCCTTGTCTTCTCCACTTGCAGAGCTTCCATCCAACTGTCTTCTTTTGAAATTTTCATCATCCTTGGAGGTCATGGGAACAGAAGTCACATAGAAAGAAGGCTACTGTGTCTCTTTTCCTAGCTGAGAGATGCATTTGAAATATTAAGAACACCCAAACACAAACGAAAGGTGAGGTTAAATTTCTAGTAATAGTAATAATGACTTCCTGGCGGGCTGAGAATGAGGACTTTTTTTTTTTTAATACTTGGACATAGGATAACTGGGATAGGGCTTTCATCCTTCATGACATGGATGAGGACTGAAGAGATCTTCTGTGTCAAGTTCTGAGTTGTCACCGTATTCATTCCATTCACATCATGGTTGAACATAATATGTGACAGAAACAACTTAGAAGAGGAGAGATTCATTTTGGCTCAGGGCTTCAGAGGGTTTTCAGTCTGTCATGATGAGGAAGGCTTGATGGACAGATCAGTTCATGGCAGTGGCAGCAGGTACGAAGGCTGCTCACATCATGGCAGACCAAGCAGCAGATGAAGCATGGCAAAAACCAGGGGTCATTTAATGACCCCCACCTGCAATGAGCCCCACTGTCAATGGCTGGCTACCAGCTAGGTTCTTAGGGCTCCTTCCATGGCCTTCCAAAATGGTGCTACAGCTGGGGACCGAACACTCAAAACAGCAACCTACAGAGAACAATTAAGATTCAATACTTCATATTATATGAACTTTCCTTGCTGTGTGTGACTTTGATGCACTCATGAGCCTTCTTGCTTACAGAAAGACCCTCAAGGATTCTTTGGATAAATATCACACAAACTATCGACTCTCATACATGGCATGGGGAACATGTTGGTTGGAGATGATGTCTTTGCCCTTCACCACTCTATGAGTGCTCTTCTTCCCTATATGAAGGCTGTGGGTGCTCAGTTGGAAAATGCTGCTGCTCCCCTTAGACTGTTAGTTGGCCCCCAGGGTGCCCTCTTCTCTGAAGGCACTCGGGCATCCAAACCTTAAGAAGTCAAGTCTAGATGGCCTATTTTACCTGTGTATCAGAACCTCACCCACCTTGAATCTCAACTCGTAACAAATGGGAAGAGTTCTTACTGAATGCTGGTTCCCTATGTAACTGGTTCATGTACTTGAGAAGGACCAGAGGAAAAGGAAGAAATCATAGAAGCATGCACAGTGCCCCATCCACCTCAGCCCCTGACCCCTGCCCTCAACATCTCAGCCATGGTTTTGCCTGTTACTCTAGCTGCTTTGTTTAAAATAGACAGCCATAAACACTCAGGACAACCAGAAGGATGGCCAGATGTAATATTAGTTTCTTCCCTGGTTTGTCTTTGAAAGAGTCAACCATATAAATCACTGTAAGCCACGAAGACGGAAAGTGAAATCACATCTTCAAATGGGCAAGGATAGCATGTTGCCATTAGACTCCAAGTAGCATCTTGTGTGATCACCTCGAGGGTCTTTGTGTGAGCCTTGATTTAGGTTAGGTGAGATAGCAGAAGTTCCCCCTCTCTCTGGGTTTGAAGCAGAGCCGTGGATACTTATCTGTGGCATAGCCCTGGAAGCCTTGTGCCTGTCGGACAGTGTCCCTGCAATGCCATTTTTCACGACTTGTTTAATTAACAACCATTTTTGACCTCGGCTTGTTATGAAACTGTTGCTATTCTCTCCTGCTAAATTATGTCTAATGAACATATTTGCATGTTATCAGATATAGCAATATATCATTTCAAATTTGAGCGTTTAAGCCTACATCACTCAAAACAGCTTTTGTGGATTAGTAAGCAGGTGAAATCAAAAATCTCATTTCATATCTGACATTAATAACTTTCGGGGGAGTGAGCATTGACATTCATGTCTGGACCAGAATTGAGCCCAATGTCCTAGAAATACAAGGGCAACACACAAACCTACTCACCAGATAGGAAAATAAATCACACATAATGCAGAATTTCTACCTTACATGTTAATTAATGTGTGCAATCAATTACTGATGTTACAATATGAGAAAGAAACTGGTGGGGAAAGGGGTAATAAAAAATACCTATAGATTTATCTGCTTCTTTTTTCTATTTAAACAAATAGTCTTCAAGCCCGTGAATGCTGTGTTGAGGCATGCTTGGAATAATAAGCATCATAAAATCTAATCAGATTTATAAGAGGAATTGATTGTTGTGGCAGGAGGAGAGGGTGGAAAATAAGCTGAAATTTAAGTGTTAATTTTTATGCTAATCCACAGTGGCTTCATATGAAGCAATTTTGTTCTGTGCCACAAATATAAAATTGTCCCTTGCAGAGAAATGTCAGCTTGCTAGACCTGAAAGCAGTAATTTATTAGGTATGTTTCTATTAGTATGTGTCACAGTTGTTAGCAGGCTATACACACAATGGCGCTTCATACTTATCCTCTAAGTCTGAGAATGTTTCAGCTCAGTGGCTGGAACGTGGGGGCATTAATGCGTTATCATATGCGGGGTGGTCTGTGCCCTGTGGACAAAAGGCTATTTAATACAATTTAATGTCATTCTGAGAAGAAGTGGAAAAATAAAGACGGGGAATAAAATGGCATCTGTGAGTTTCACAGGGCACTCATGCACAAACCCTCAGTTTAAGAGGTATGACATTTCTGCCAAGAAAAAGAATAAAACTGGGGCATTTTTTTTTATAACCTGTTCCCCACTGCAGTATTTCCTAAATGCTATTAAGTGATCGATTTACACGGCCACATGATGATGTCATCCATAAGAAGGGGAATGCAGATGACAGCAAAATACTACTGACAGTGACCTTGTTTCTGAATCCTTGGAACCCTGGCAGCTTCAGTTCCAGTATATGGTTTCAAAGAATGTACTTTTTGGACAATATCTAGTTACTGGGTAGTGAATTAATAGAGTTAAGGGTTCTGATGCAATTCACATATAGGTCAATTACATGCGCCAACATCTGCTCTGTCACGATCATTTGCATATAGCATTCATATGTTAATGATGCCTCTTTTTACTCAAGTAATATATTTTAAAAACAAGATTTGCATATCAGTTTGGATCAGTATATTACAAGCAATTTATCATTTTCTCCTTCTTGTTATGATTTGAAGAACAATATCTTGAATGATGGCTGCTATATTTGAGCACGGCTCTGATTTATACAAGGAGCCCCTCAGTGGGAAAGCTTCCATTCTAAAGCTGCTTAAAGCCTTATAAATCAATAATGACACAGATGGACTGCTGATAATCTATTTAGAATGCCTGATAGCAAATATTGCCGTACAGATGATTAGAGGGGTAACCATTTTAGCAGAGTCCTTCCTCCCTCCACAAATGGCAAGTTTGAACAACAGCAACGAAAAAGAAGTGCCCGTACCCTGACTTCACATCAGACCCTCTCCTCACAGGGTCTGCCTTGCAGAGGGGAAGACCTGGGGAGAAGAACAAAGGCGCTTCCCGTTCCTGCCAATATAATCATATCAATCCCTGTTTCTTTAACAAAACAGGACCTCTTAATGGAATTGTGTCTTCAGGTGTAAATAGCATTAAAAGCTGCTTCTCGGGTCCTCTCTGCCCTGATACAGCGCAAGGAGTGAGAAAATAAAGTGGAGGTTGTCAGAAGTGGCAGCTGTTTGGAATCCTGATAAATATAAGCTCTTATTGATCTGATGGAAATAAAGGATCCCAGTGCTAGGCAGTATTTAGCTTCTTGTCTATGGCGCGTCACCGGTGGCCTTGCAATGGGGATAGATTTCCATTCTCATACTCTGGATTTGATTTCATCTTTAACCTTTGCAGCTGAGTTGCCTTGACCTCAGAGTATGGCTGTGATTTCCTGAATTTGTTACATTTTACTTTACATGGTTTCTTTCTCTATTTCCCTTTTTTTTTTTTTTTTTTTTTTTGTGACAGGGATCGGGGCCATCCCTCTAGCCATCTTTCAGCGCCTGCATCCAGAGCATCTTTCCTGGGGACATATTATTACTAGACTGACAGTCCTTAAGTCAAGCATGCAGTGAGAGTGTTCAGGTAAGTCTCACCCTATTAGAGCTGTCCTCTTGGACACTCCTTGCTTCTTCCTGGTTACCCTGTTGAGTTCACACAAATCCAATTCAAGCCACCCACTATAAACCCCAGACAAGCCTCTCCTGGACACAAGTGGAGTCACCTGCACCCACCCAATAAACCATGGGCTGTGACTCCTGGGAATTGTCACTCCTTTGCGGTTGGGGTGTTGGAGGTTTGAAACAAAAGGATCCAGAAGAACAATGTTCTGTTTTCTCATGGAGCTTCGCCCCGATGCTGTGTTTTCTACTCGGTGGCTTAATTCCTTTCTGGAGTTTTCTTCCGGGATAGAGATGAAGATCCAGCTCAAAATCCTGACGTGCTGTTCACGTTTTCTGGTTCCAAGAAAAGTGCTGCTGTTATTTTGAGTAGTTTTGATACAACCAAATCAAAGTGAAGATTTGAAATGGCTTTTCTGAAAGCCCAAGCTGAAGTCATAAATTATTCTGCACCGTGATTCTTTCTGATAGTGAAACCATACCTCTGCCTGCCACTGCTGCAATGAGGGAAAGTGAAAGTTAAAAATAAAATGAAACATTTAAATCTTGGCTGTTGAGAAGCTCAGATAGACATCAAGGCCAGTCGATAGAGACTCCTATCAATTAGACTTCCACGGTTATCATTCCGTATTGGCTTATTAGCAATTGCTTGGGTTCAGGGTTCCTGGATTAAGAATGTGAAGGGCCAAGCCAGGGGAAAATGCAAGGAAATAGCAACCTGTGAAAAGCCAGGACTGGTGACTCCTCCGTGTGCAGGAGGCTGATGGTGGCGTCAAGGCCTTGTTGTGATTCTTGCGGGAAGAAAATGTCTACACTGAGAAGGTTGGAAGTTTTCCCTGTTTTACCCCGTTATTTGAGTCGGAAAGTGTTGATTTCACACCGCGCTGAGTGTTTTCCCGCAGCTTCTTGGTGGGTGTATTCTATGTTGAGAAAAAGGAGCAGTTAATGAAAGCAATAGTGGGGGCCATCAGCGGCCTGGCAGGCCTGTGACTTCCCAGATCCCAAGGTGCCCTCTAGGAGGGGGGTGGGCAGCTCAGGAGCTCCAGCCTAGAGCTTGCAGACAAAGCTCCTGGCTAGGTCCCTCCTCGGCATATCGCAGGCAGGAACAATTTTTGGTTCCTTTGCTGCTGGGTTGGGAAAACAAGCTGGTGGTTGCCAGTAAGGTTTGGAATCTGCCTGCCAGATAAGGGAATGTCTGTGAAGACTATTTTCCCTCTTGGGAGGCAAAACACAGATGGGGGAGTTCGGAGCCTTACAGCATTCAGCTGCTACATTGATGGTAGGAATTCTGCAGTGTGGATGCTCACGTTATCTGAAGGCCTGGTTCAGCATAGCTGCCGAGGGCCTCTGGTAGGCCTCTCAACTGGCTGTGGAGAGAGCAAATGCCTTGGCTTGTTAGGAAACATTCCATACCTTGGGCTTCTCGAGGCAGGAGAAGACACACTGCCACCATGCTGGCCACTTCCCCCTTGACACTTCCTTTGGGATGGGATAGGAAGGGAAGCAAGAATGAACTACGTAACTGACTGTCTCCCACCCACCTTCTCAGTCCCCACCCTCACCACTGCAGACAGACAAAGAAGGAATGTCACGGCTTTGCCCTGTGGGAGCCATACACCATTCCTAGCTGGGGCAACTTGCACAGTGTAGGACAGGCATTTTGGCTCACGGGGTTTTCCAGCACTAAGGCACGTATTTTGTAACTAGTCACTTGGCTAAACTTGGGGCTTCCTAGACCATAAAGTGCGGCCGTGGATATCTCTGCATCATATGCAGGGAACATGTTTTATAAGGAAGCCTGAAGCCACAGACCCCACCAAACTTAATACTTAATCTGCCCTCCCTACACTCAGGTGTCTGTGAGTTTAGTTTAAAAGTTTGGCACAGAAGAAGAGTGACAACAGTAACTAATATGAAGATTAAACAGTGCTAGCAGTGTATATTCATAAATGCCATGCAAATGTGGTCTTATGGGGCAGGGGACTGAGGAGTGTGTGTTCTGAGGGGTAGCCCCTAAGCAGGCACGGGAGGATTTTTTTTTCCTGGATGGGAAATGCACACTTTGGGATGACTTGGGGTGGGTGTCACGGAACCTGGAAGTAAGATTAAAACTTTACTTCCAAGAACAAATTCTTATCCTCTGAGGATCAATAACAGACAGGACTTGAGAATAGTCTCTTGTTGAATTTCAGCCCCAGAACTCAGGATGCCCAGGCTCCAGAGCTGGAAACCTCCCCAGGGACCTACACTGAGAGGAGCCTGGCAGCCAGGGAGAGGAGAGGGCCCTGAGGTGGCCCCAGCGGTTATTCCGTGTGGGAGATATTTCCTCACCCCACCCTTGCAGTTCTTTGAAAAAGACGCTTGACTTTGTGAAGTCTGTTTTTCTTTTCCTTTGTATTTTTAATGATGGAAACCCGAAGCTTCTGGAAGGACCACTTGTTCTTGCTCATCTTATATCTCTCCTCAAACTTGACCTTGGCCTCTCATCTGGCCTTGCATTTCACAGTTCGGTCTTTGAATACATCCTTATCCTCGATGTATTTGTTCAGAGAGATGTCCACAGAGTACCTTGTGGACATGAGGTTACTGTACTTATAAACTGAAACACACACAAAATCTTGATCTCTGAGCTCTCCCCTGTTTCTTTCTTGCCCTCAGTGGCTGTCACTTTTAGAGGACAGTGGTCAGCTGCAGCCACCAGAATGTGGCGACAGGGGCGGTCTGAGTCCAGCATTAATGTTCTTTAGGACAAAGGCTTTGCATCTAGCCAGGGTGAGCACGACTCTCCTCGGCTTCAGGAGCTTTTTCATTCTGACAGCAACCAGCGTGCACACAAGCTGAAAGACTTTATGAGGTCTTACAGGCTGGGAATCCTGGCCAGCCCCAGCACTGAGGAGGCTGAGGCAGGAGCGTCAGACGACCTCAGCTTACCTGTGAGCATAGTGAGTTAGTTGTAGGCCAGCCTGAGTGACTTAGAGAACCTGTTTCAGAATGAAAAGCCAAAAGTCCAGTTGTGGTAGTGCACTGCTATAATCTTGACACTTGTTATGCTGAGGCAGGATTGTGAGTTCAAGGTCAGCCTAGCAAGATTGCCTCAAGATATTTTTAAAAACAAAATAAGCAATAAAAATGGGTGGGAACATGGCTCAGTTTGCCTAGCATGTGTCTAATTCCGAGTACTGGAAAAAAAAAAGTATACCAATGAAATAAAATAAAATAAAATAAAATAAAATAAAATAAAATAAAATAAA